AGTTATTTAATACGGATTTATTTTTTAACCAGAATTTGCCTCCAAGATAATATCTTCTTAAATGTAATGGGCATAAACTGAGATCGCTTTCCATGACGTGAATAGGGGTGCTTTTTATGTAACCTCCTATAGTTCTCATTGACTGGTTTTGAATTTTATCTAACTTAAATAAATTGGTTTTACTACTGTTATCATATAAAAAGCTCGCATAATCTAACCGACTTCTTATAATACTAATATAGAGTTTCCGTAAATGTTTAGGGTGGACACCCCAACCCGAACCTGATAAAACTTTAAATACATTTAAAAACTTTAATACTTTTTCATGTGTTTCGTTTATATGTTTACTCCACCGTAGCGTTCGATCCAACCACATTCCAAGGTATTTTACGTTATCTACCACTTCCAAAGCAACATCTTTAATTTTTAGCATACTGAGAGATATTAAGATGTGATTTGGAAGTTATAGACTTACATATATCTATTGTTGCTATGTTAAACAATAGCGGAGAAAGTGGATCACCTTGTGCTAGACCGCGACCTGTGCTTCTAATTATTTTATAATCTATCCCTTCAATCATTAAATATCTTTGACTTAAGAAAGCCAAAAGAGAATGCTTTGTTTGTCTAGTGATCTTTAAGGCAGTAACTTGATGATCATGAGGCCGCGAGTTCAAATCTCGGGTCGGGACAAAATAATTTTTACATAATATAAGGGAGTAAACGAGTATGCTACTCAGCTTATGGTGACTACCGCCGCCCATTAAGAACTGAAACACCAGGCTGACAAAACAAATTGCAGATGCGTTGCTAGCCTTTAAAAAAAGTAGGCTCTTTCCTTGAGGGTCCCTTAGTCGTATCCGTCCGCAAAATCGCTGGTGATAGCCGATTCCACAAGGAAATTGTACGAGGGAGAAAACTTCTTGCAAATCGCACAGTGGTGGACTGTCAAAGTTTTGTCGCGATTTGCGATAGAAAAATTGAACGGCTGGAATTAGTACGAACAATTCCTCTGAACATCCCTCGTGGTAGATGCGATAGAATATGCAAAGAGATTATGAGGTTTTCTGTCAATAAATTATCAATAGCAGCCCAGAGTCAGAAAACCCCGGTGCCACACAGCACCTGATGTCTCTTTGGTCGTGTCGCTTAACCGTCTCATCAAATTATAGGAGTAAGGGAACAGAGAGTGCACCATTGCTTGCACATACACTCGAACACTATAATCCTGTCCTGTACAGATGGTTAGTCTCCTTTGGGACCGGCCACCGTCTACCGTGACCGATATTTGGATTTAAGGGCATTATATAACAATAAAAGATTATAATTTATTAACCATTCCAATGAATTATTACTTTAACGATTTCAATGAATTTGAATATATATAATAAACGAAAACCCGGAATTGTAATTGAAGTTTACGTTCGAATTGCACACGAGCGTGTGCTTATCTTTATTCATAGACGCTAAAATAAATTTGAAACCAGAGGTGGTAGTTTAATATCCTTTAATTTCGCAGGTTTACACAATAAACGTAAAGTTTGCAATAATTGTAGTGAACTTCATCCCGCTCCGGGACCGCTCGTGCAAGTGCACTGTGTTGAAAAATTCACATGTAACTTACTGCAGTCATAAGTAGGTTTGTACGTAAGCTTCCACCGGATAAGCCGGTTTTATTTACATGCTTTTTTGTACTCGCATTCAGTTGTACCGGTTACAGTTACTTGATATTAATGGAAGAAAATTGTAAATGTGCTATAAAGTAATGTGAAAGTTAATTTTGTTCTTCTTTTGCTGCAGTAGCGAAAATAAAATTTTATTAAGAACAATTTTTAAAAGGTTGCGAATTGCGTCTTTAAATTTCATAATACGAGCATCCGCAGTTCTACTGCTCCTTTGAAATTGGGGCCCCTACTAGACACTAGTAGTGACGACTAGGTACCTCTTCTTAGGAGAGGCATATGTTCAGCACTGATTGATGTGATGAAAGCGTAAGAGCCGTTTCCGAAAAACCAATTACATCTAACTATATGAGAATTTGTCGCTTAAAGTATAAAAAGATATTTCGAGGAAATATTAACGTCTGCCTTAAACGAGATGGTTATAGTACTATCTATCAGAAACCATGAGACCTTATTGGCATATTAAATAGTTTTTAACGATGTTAAAAATCAATCAACCCAGATCTGTGCACTAAAATAAAATAATGCGTCTTACATAGTTTGAAGAGTTGAGTTTGTATCATCGACGGTGGTGTATCTTTCCTAGTATTGTAGTCTTGGGAGCAGTAGTGCTGGAATTGATGGTGACGGGGATAGCGCACTCAATTGAGGGAGAGCGGGAGGGGATCTTCAAACTAGGTAAGGCACATCATTTGTTTTGTTGCGCGGATCTTGGCTCGGTGATATTTTAACATTGATAACGAAATTAATTTCCACAAAGTAATGCCTAATTATATCACATAGTTACGTTTATCGGCATTTAAAAGACGAAAAATTGGTTGATTGATTCTCATGAGCCGCCATGATATGTTAAACGCCAGCTACGACAGAAAACTCTCATGTCTAGCAGAGGACTTTACGGGTTACTGATGACAAAGAAGAATTAATCTTAACATTCGTAATAGAAGCATACGCTCCAATTTACCTACGTACATGCAACCGAATGTCAGGTAAACTCATTCCGTTGAGACGAGAATGTTATCAAATTAAATATTACGCCTACATAAAACATTCACCCGGTATGTGCCTAGAGTATACATTATTCTTATGCCTCGTGCGCAAAACACCTCCGCAGTAAATATATTCATGAAAAATTACTACGTAAGCAGCGCTTGTCTTCAAAATATTAAGTCTAGGGGTTGCTTTATTCAATTATGTTACTTTGCGGATTCCTTATTAAAATAAGATATGACTTGTTGTGTTTGTGCGCGTGACGTATGTGTAAATTTTCTAATTTGCGACAGCATTTGTAACTATGCTAAATATGTTTCCCATTCATGCATATAGTCAATAATTATTCATATTTTTTTAATTTAGAATTCATTAGAATCAAATAATATTTTTTATAAGATAGGGTGATAAACGAGCACACAGTCCACCCGATGGTAAATGGTTGCAGTGACCCATATATATCTACATTTATCCTCAATAAAGAATCAAAATGCAGATGCGTCGTCGCCCGTGAGGACTAAGATGGAATGCCTCTTTTCCAGTAAAATGGGTCTCCGGTTCTCTACACTCACCATACGAAACATACCAGTATCAAGCTGCCATTTTACGCTGGTATTCTGTGAGAGCGTGGTCCTTCCCCGGTCGAGCCGACCCATTCGTGCTACAACTATACTACTAATACAGCTGCAGCATGACATATTGGTTACGTGGTACGTGCTATTAAATTAAAACCAAACAGAGTTATTCAATTTTAAATGTAACTATTGATATATCTAGACGCTAGAAAGAGAAGGTATCTATCTGTACTATTTATTCTCAAATATCGATTGAAAACTCAAATAAAATGTCAAAATCTTTATTACCGTTTGCATTTTTTTATAAAGAAAAATGGGTGCGGATGCGATGCGGTCTCTTCTTGCTATCAACTTTCCGACTGATGACTAACTGTAAGCTCGTTTTCATTTGTTTTAAAAACCTACCGAACAAATTTTATCGAAAAGTTATTTCATTTTGAAATTAAACGTCGAATGGAATTATTTGGAGACGCGATCACGATGAACGATGATACATTATTGCCTCGCGAGATATGAGCAACAAATAATTAAAAATTAAAAAATTTGTACAACCTACTTCAATATAAATTATTAAGAATAACTCGAAAACTATTGTACAGACCTTAATCATAAATTTATATGGGACCACATGTGAAGCATCAGCTTTCAAATAAAAAGAGAATCATCGAAATCGGTTCACCCAGTAAAAAGCTATGAGTTAACACACATAAAATAACATACAGTCGAATTGAGTATCGTCTCGTATTGAAGTCGGTAGAAAAGTTCAATACGTTCTTACACACAAACATCACAGATTTTTTTAATAGGATAAGGGTGACAAACGAGCACACAGTCCACCTGATGGTAAGTGGTTGCTGCGGCCCATAGACATCTACAACTATCCTCGTTTGCGAATCAAAATGTAGATGCGTTGTCACCCGCGAGGACTAAGATGGAATGCCTCATTTCCAGTAAAAAGGGCCTCCGGCCACCTGCACTCACCAAGCGAAACGCAGAGGTAAACCTCTACTTCACGCTGGTATTCTGTGAGGTCGTGGTACCACCCCGGTTCGAGCCGGCCTATCCGTGCGACAGCAAAAGCTACCGCATGGCTCTACCACGTAACTAAATATAGATATCCTTTTAATAACAGCAAAATCTGTCACTATCAACTTCAAATCGTGAAATTTGGGCAAATATTGGCAACTTTTTTTCGTGTACCCGTGGTATCCCATGTGTTTCAGGACACCTATATCCAACTTCAGTTATGCGCGATTGAGTGATTTTCGATTTCAAATAAGCATGAAGAAAAAAAACATGCGTTAGTGTCGTAGAACATTCGGTTGGAATGAAGTTCCTTTCGTATATTATTATTGATAAACGTATTATATTATTGATTAACAAATACAAAAAAATTAATAAAAAAAATTACTAGCGTTTATTAAAATGAAACGTCATTTAAAATAAAATAATATTGCTTTCATGGCAAGATAAGGAAAAGTGTGAGGATGATGGATATTGTTTTCGCTCGTACTATGGAAATGGAGTCGTGACGGAAAAATCTTACACTATTTCTCGCCTAGCCCCATCCGCCAAATTCATACCATGCGATAAGGAACTTCGTTCCAAAAACTGCGGTTGCCAACCCGCTTGCCAAGCAATCTATGGTGGAGGCCTATGTTTAGTTATGGATTTAATAGGCTGTAACGGTAACGGGAACAGAGTGATTTCGAAACATTCTTAACGCAGAATATTAGTATAGATATGTACTCACCATTTCGTCGGTGTAGTCTCCTATTACAGGATTGTTATTGATATACCATCTGTATAATTGCGCCGGGGGATTTGCGTCAACCGAACAACTTATCCTGGCTTCGCTTCCTTCAGGTATTCTGCCCTTGACAGCACCCGATTTGATAGTAACATTCACTTTCGGTACGTATTTTACCTAAAAATATTTAAAAATATGTAATAAATAGTTTACTTTTAGTTGTCTTTAAGAAGGTAAATTCTAAACAAATTCGATTAATTATTTTATAATGTTTTCTTATATTTACGCGAACACTACGCATGGAATAAAACTACTTTTACCGATTTTATAGAGTTTAATTAACTGAGATCACCTCAGTCCCCCGTGACTATGGGTGCTGTAAAGCACCCGAAACGTCGGGAATTAATAAAAATAAGTTAATTAAACGCGATAAAATATGTAAAAGTAGTTTTGTTTAATTATTTTATAATATAAATAATATAACAAGTTATTTAATAGAGTAACAAATTACATAGAATTTTTTAAGTATCCAACGTTCTTTTTATTCATGTTTAACACATTTTCATTAGAACGTCCTGCATGTATGTAATATCCAGTACAGCCTACAAAAAGTCAACTGCTGAAGATTGGCCTCTTAGAATGTCTCATTGGGTCGATTTTGTCACATTTGGCAGGCGGTTTGGCAACTGCAGTTTTTTTAATATTTTGAGTTGTTATTATAAGAAACATGCTGCTGCCCATCTTCTGTTACAATTTCCCTCTGTCGCCTCTTACGACACCCACGGGATGATAAGGGGTAGTGGATATTCTTACACAGACACTACACGGTATCAATGTATATATGCATGCATGTGTGAATGTAACGAAATTTTATAATTGACTTTTACCCACTTCCGGACGTCTAAATAAGTTTTTTTTTTATAGGATAGGGGTGACAAACGAGCCCACAGTCCACCTGATGGTAAGTGGTTGCTGTGGCCCATAGACATCTAAATCTATCCTCGATCACGAATCAAAATGCAGATGCGTTGTCACCCGTGAGGACTAAGATGGAATGCCTCGTTTCCAGTAAAAAGGGTCTCCGGTTCTCTACACTCACCATATGAAACACAGCAGCATTAAGCTGCTATTTTACGCCGGTATTCTGTGAGAGCGTGGTCCTTCCCGGTCGAGCCGATCCATTCATGTTACAACTATACCAGAAATATAGCTGCAGCATGCCTCTACCACGCATAAAAGTTGCAAACTAAAGTTGAAACTTTGACTCTATTCCTTGACATGGGTCTCTCCCGATAGATGGATTTGCCTTAATCCCCACGCTTGGCAGTATTGACAGTCTCGGACCCGATGTCTCGCACCTTTGACGCTGTCCCCAGTTGCCGGCCTTGATATTTAACGTCTAGCATAAACAAAGTGACTATACGGCCTTATACCGGAAGCCATGAGATAATCTTTTGCGACACATCTTTTTTTTAAAAAGGCCGGCACCGCTTCTGCAATTTCCCTGGTTCCCAGTTGTTCATGAGCGGCGGTAGTCACTTACCATAAGGTGAGCCGCATACTCGTTTGTTCCCTCTGCTATTAAAAAAAACACTCGCGGGTCGAAATGGGCTAATAGATTTTCTGACGCCGCCACCACAGAGCTAGGCTAGGATAGATATTAGTCAGCATTCACTATTGTGTTTCTGCTTGAAAGGTAAGAGATTCAGTACAGGCTATGAGGCATTCCCTTTTAGTTTAAGGGTAGCCATGCAACTGTATGTTGGTTTCTTTGTTTGATATTACATTTTCATGGGCTACAGTGGACACTTACCACCACTAGGAGAAATATTAGCTCATTTATCCAAGTAGTACAACGACAGAAGAATTTTTATCAACGTTATCTTCACAAACAACCCTTCACAAATCTACTGCTAAAAAAAGGCCTCAGCCAAATAATGCCACAAAACACTGTCCCAAGTCACCTGCACTTATCAACTTCCAGCATGTCTTACCAGATAGATGTTTTAAATGAAATGTGTTTTAAATGATTTTGCAACGATGATATCAATATTTGTCATGCAGTATATTAATAGGTTTAGTATCTTGGTATTAAATGACAAAAGAAACTAAGTCGTAATTTAAAATATTATCTGACTATTAAATAAAGTAGATGCACACTGACATCAACAAGTTGCATAATAATTTATAGAAACGTCTTACTTACACTTACCTCGATATGCACAGTCGCCATTCTATAAGCTCTGTCAGCAGTGTTCTGCGCTTGACATGTTATTGTCTGATTGTGATGACCCTTATTAGGTACTAACCGCAGCACTGACCTGTACAATAATTATACTAATTGAATCTGTCTATTTAGCACTTGTGTCAAAAGTTGTTATCAATTTGTATAACAAGTAGTTAATCTGCTAAGAACCTTTGTCTTTTTTTTATAGGATAATGGTCACGAACGAGCACACAGTCCACCTAATGGTAAGTGGTTGCTGCTTCCCATACACATCTACATCTATCCTCTATTACAAATCAAAATGCAGATGCGTTATCACCCTTGAGGACTAAGATGGAATGCCTTATTTCCAGTAAAAAGGGTCTTTGGTTCTCTACACTCACCATACGAAACACATCAGCGTTGAGCTACTATTTTACGCTAGTATTCTGTGAGAGCGTGGTCCTTCTCCCGTCGAGCCGACCCATTAGTGCTACAACTATACTACTAATATAGCTGCAGCATGGCTATACCACGTAAAAATATCGAATTTACTTATTCGTAATATGTACAATTGGTGTAAATTTTCGTTTTTAGTTCTTTATCTTTTAAAAAACGTAACCCTCACACTAAGATTTATTTCCTGTATTGTGTCTACAAACATCCAGACCCGGAACAACTATATGTAGGCCGTACATATTTGTTCCGTGCGGGATTCGAACACACGGCCCTCAGCGCTGCCACTCAAGTTAAGCCACTGCATTACAGAATCATCACAATTTACGGAGGCTTTATTTAGATATCATTTCATATAATTTGATCAACAAAACGATTGGTATAAATACATGATATAAGCAAATACAAAATCATAAATGTAATATAAAGACAATCTCATTTACTTTATTTATCGGTTATTGGTGCAACTTATATAAGGTCGAAGTTACGCTTCGGACCTTCGAAATCGAAATGAAATTAAAGTTAAGTGTACTATAATTTTAAATAAATAAACCAGCAAAACCTTTAATTTGTAATTTAGGCAAAATTCGAGCCACAGACTAGTGACTTAGTAGTACCAGTAGCTATAAATCGTATTTATTTTATATTTCACTTCACTATTTTCTTGCACTTTCTTAGACAACGGTTCATTCAAAACGAAATAATATATGTTGTTTTAACTTATCGCTCTATTCCATAGTGATTAATTCATTTGTTTTTTTTCTTAAATACGCTTAACTTTCGTATTAAATATATTAAACGAAATTAACATATTTTCATTTGAGATTAAATACTTTTTTTTGTTATAGAAAATAAAATTTCATTATTTTAAATAGACTTTTCTAAATACCTATTCCCTGGCTGGACAAGAAATGAAGGAAGAAACTCCGTAAGTATCCTTTTTGTCATCGTTTCGTGCAATAATACAATACAGTTGACCCGCGATAAACCGACAAACGTTTTGCAAGGCGGTGTCGGATTATCAAATTTGTCAAACTTTAGAGTACTGTCACGGCCCTGGTAGTCCGGAACTTTTTGAAAAATTGTAATCCGACAAATTACATATAAAATAAAAAAAAGGATCATGTGATGCACAATGAATACCTAAAGAGCAAATAATGATTGCCCGTTAGGCCGCTACCATGGTCACATTTAAACTAATACAATAAGCGTCAAGCTAGATTCGTGGCGGCGCGAACTAATTGCTACCTATTTGTCCATGTATTTACGAAGTTTCGATTGTACCTACATGTTAAAGCATGTCGAATTACAAGTGGGGATGGATTAGCCATGGGCCGGAATACCGAGGGTCCACTGTAATATTATTCTTCATATAATAAATGAATACTCATATTACATAATCAAAGTGTTTTTTTTTTATAGGAGAGGGGGCAAACGAGCATGCGGCTCACCTGATGGTAAGTGACTACCGCTGCCCATGAATAACTACAACACCAGGGAGGGAACTGCAGATTCGTTGCCGGCCTTTTAAAAAGGAGTACGCTCTTTTCTTGAAGATCCCTAAGTCGTATCGGTCCGGAAAAATCGCTGATGGTAATCGATTCCACAAGGAAGTCGTGCGAGGAAGAAAACATCTTCTAAATCACACAGTGGTGGACCGCCAATCATCCAGATGGTGTGGATGGTATCGAGAGTTCTGCCGCGATGTGCGTTCGTGAAATTTGGCGGCTGGGATTAATCCGAACAATTCCTCAGAGCACTCCCCATGGTAGATGCGAAAGAAAATGCAAAGGGATGCAACATCTCTTCGCAGTGCCAATGAATCGAGCCGATCGGAAAGGGCTCGGTCGTCGACGATTCGAGCCGCTCTGCGCTGTATGCGGTCAAGTGGAAGGAGCTGGCAAGAGATGGGAACAGTATTCCATGTGAGGCCGAACCTGCGCCTTGTAAAGCTACAGGCGGTTTGCCGGCATGAAATACTGTCCCGCTCTGCTGAGCACGCCAAGCTTTTTAGAGGCACGTCACTCGATATGTCGACTCCGAGGATACCGATACTGGCTGAGGCAAGAAGGGGAGTGCCTTGAAACTAAGGAGATACGACAAAGGGGTTCTTTTTAGCGGTTAACGCGCAAACTTGTGTCTTCTGAGGATTAAACTGTACTAGATTTAGTCGCCCCCTATCCGAGACTTTGTTCAGCAAAGACTCGACTTCAGACACAAGTTTGTTCCGGTACTCGGCGACGTTTTCCCGAGAAATATTGGCACGGCCGGTGTAAAGAGCATCACCAGTGTTGTCATCCGCATAGAAATGGATGTTACCAGTTAGCAACATATCATTGATATGCAGAAGAAACAGCGGTGGTGATAGCACACAGCCTTGTGGAACACCAGCGTTAATAGCTTTGTAGTCAAAACATGCACCATCTACAACGACCTTGATGCTCCGATCTGCAAGGAAGCTGGTGATCCAATTGCACAATTTCTCGGGAAGCCCATAGGAAGGGAACTTCGAAAGAAGCGCTTTGTGCCAAACCCAATCGAAGGCCTTCGCAATGTCCAGACTAACGGCCAACGCCTCCCCCTTGGACTCTATTGCCTCCGCCCATCTATGGGTCAGGTAGACCAGAAGATCACCAGCTGATCGACCCCGACGAAAACCGTATTGGCGGTCACTAATCAGCTGGTGATCCTCAAGGTACCGGATGAGCTGGCAGTTAATAATGGATTCCATTATTTTGGAGAACAAGGAGGTGATCGCGATAGGCCTATAGTTGGACGGGTCTGAGCCGTCGCCTTTTTTAGGGATCGGGTGGACAAAAGCTATCTTCCATGAGTTCGGGACTACGCCTTGGGAGTAGGAGTACCGGAAAAGACGCGTTAGGACCGGTGCCAACTCCGGAGCACACATCCTCAGCACAATTGGAGGGATTCCGTTAGGCCTACTCGACTTCTGGATGTCCAGGGAGAGAAGTGCTTTGCGAACCGAGCGCTGTGAGAACAGCACATCCGGCATGGAGCACTCACACCACGGGATGGTCGGCGGTGTTTTCCCCCCGTCATCAAGAGCCGAGTTGGATGCAAAGAGGGAGCCTAAAAGGTCGGCTTTGTCTTTTGCGTCTTGGGCCAGTGAGTCGTCCTCCCTGTGCAGAGATGGTAGTGATGGCTTACAGAAATTCTCTTCCATAATAATGAAATAACATAGATGACCTATTATGTGACGTCACAGCTCAGAAGAAACTATTAAGCGAGATTTTTTTCTTCTTCCTTAGCCCGTAAAAGCCGGTGCTGTCATAAGTCATAGGTCTTTCCTGTTGTGAGATGATTCGCAGGTAGATTGACGATAGCTTTTTTGACACTGCTGCCCATCGCTGGCCAGGGTATTTTACATATGACATAAACAAGATGGGTATGGTATCGGCATCTTTAATTTTTCGTTACCTTCTTTAATTAGAAGTCGTTTATGCGTGGTAGAGCCATGCCGTAGATATATTAGTAGTATAGTTGTAGCACGAATGGTTCGGCTCGACCGGGGAAGGACCACGCTCTCACAGAATACCAGCGTAAAATGACAGCTTGACACTACTGTGTTTCGTATGGTGAGTGTAGAGAACCGGAGACCCATTTTGCTGGAAAAGAGGTATTCCACCATAGTCCTCACGGGTGATGAAATCATCTGCATTTTGATTCTTTATTGAGGATAAATGTAGATGTCTATGGACCCCAGCAACCACTTACCATTAGATGGACTGTGTGCTTGTTTGTAACCTTATCCTATAAAAAAGTAGTATCGAAGTGCAAATCTGTTATAGGTGAATGTGTTAGCCGGATAAAACTAGGGCAAGCAGAAATATTGTAACTTAATTGTACTGTTAAATTTGTAAAAATACGGAAATATGTAGACATCAAGTAATATCAGCAACAGTATGTTAAAATGCATTTGGGGTGGCCCTTCGGCTACCTCAAAACCGCAGACATATTTTTAATTAATATAATAATACTTAGGTATATCATATATGTTTTATAAATTTCACCAACCGCAAATGGCTGCACCTAGCATAATCCGGCTACACCTAGATGTATCTGCAATTCAGCTATTAGCCGTAACATTATTACAACTTAAGTTATGTAGCTTTTCTTTGTACTATATACTAAGTTTTAAATTTAATATTGAAATTCATTTACCTCGTTTTAAACCTTTGTTCATCTGGTAAAAGTTCAACTTTATTCTGGACATTCTTTTTTATTACGACCTGATTTCCGTCTACCCAAGTTATCTACACAAAGAAACGTAGGTTATATTTTATATTGTCAAACTAAAATAAAAACTTATCTAAGTAAAAAAAATTCAATACAAAATTTGTTTTACCAAAGCAGCAACGTATTACTAAGCTTGAAATTTTGTATGCGAATTGAGGTAAGTTATTTTCTACAAGAGTAAACTATTTCATTGAAAATCCAAAGAAAATCTCACTTCAGCTGCCGGTTTTCCACCTTCTGAAACACACTCGATATCCACAGGTTGGTCCTCAGTGGCATCAATAAAAGCCCCTTGTATGATGCGAGGGGGATCCGGGGCGATCAACACGGTGAGCTGAGCGTATCGAGATCGAATTGCGGGCTCGCCTGGAAAACAGAACTGATTGGATGCATCGTCGGACGGATTACGTAGTATGTTCGAGGCAAATGTTTGGGTATTGTTTTTAATTTTAGCCGACTCCAAAAAAAAGAAGGTTCAATTAGACATATCTTTTTATGTATCTGTGTTCAGCGAAATTTTCATCAATTGTGAATCTAATTTGATGACTCTTTTTTTTATTAAGTATAATATATTTTAGGGGTAATTTTATATAAGAATAAATAATGGCAAATAGGAGGATGAAATTTGAATGTAACGTTTACGACGTGATTGTGATAAATCCTTCCTACTATCTAAGAGTTCGATGTCCAGCTGAAGACAATTACTGAATGATAGAAAAGACGAAAGAAGATTAAAAAAAAATATTTGTACTTTCTAACGCTACTTACGTTGATTGTCGCTTAAATTAAGTACCTAATTATCTCTGTACCGGTTTATTTCTATTGTCATTGAGTGAGAAGAGAGAACAACGTTAATTTAAGAAATACTATAAGTTGCTTTTCTTTTACTGACGTTGGTGTTATCGATATCGTATAACCCAATTTAATTTACCGTGGTATCAACTCACCGTTTAGCCCCGAACTAACTTGGCACTGATATTTGCCATCGTCTTCCAGAGTCACGTCCCTTATGTCTAGTGAGTAATCACCTGTAATCAAAAAGACATGTTATTTTTTTTTAAATTACGATTCGTAGAAGTGCATGGGTTAGACGGTTGACTTAAAATCTTTTATAGTACGTAAACAACCTGAGTTTGATTATTATGACAGAGCATGTGGGTAAATGTTTCTGTACGACACACGAATGAAAATTAAAATGTTTGAAATATTAATTTCTCTTACACGTAATATGATAAATACGTGGGTTTTTTTAAGTTCCCTGTTCGATAAGTTCAAAACCTATTTTTGGGAAAGTCTGCTCTTCAAGATAATAGTTTAAGCCACAAATGACGCAAACTTAGGGCCCATTTTGCAATGCTCTGATAAAAAAATTATATAGAATATAATACAACGTATAAAAATAAAATCACAGTTGTATGAATTAAATTAAATGTATGAATTAAAAAAAATGCGGTTGGCAACCCGCTAACCCAGCGTGGCAACTATGGCATCTCCCGATGACTATATATGGAGGAGGCCTACGTTCGGCTGTGGACTTTTGAGGCTGTAATATGCATGGATTAATAAAATAGTAATAGTTGTTTCACTTATACATTTAGGTTGAAATTTTGTTGAAGGATATTTTTTAATTTTATTTAAATATGCACTACGTATTTTAAACAGAGAAAAGGGGATGTGTGCTATTAATAATCTATTTATATAACAAGTGTTAAATTAAAAAAAAATTGTACAACTGACTTCAATATAAATAAAATGAGAACATCTATGTATTCGAAGTCAATTAAATACGCATTATTAAGGAATACTCAAAAACTACAACACTGATCTTGATCAAATTTATATGGGACTACATGAGAGAAGAAAAAATTCTGTTGTGTTACCTTTACATAACTTTACATAAAAAATACACTCAAATCGACAACCTCCACCTTTTTTGAAGTCGCTTAAAAATGTAGAGTTAGTCACTGATTACTTTGAAGTATTGAAACATTGTTGCTTTCTAATACACGCTTTACACTTTGTAGTCATATCCTCATAAGAAAATTATGTGTCTAAGCGTAAAAATACTTGAAACCCAAATCAACGTTACTTCAATTTTATCAAAAACTTTGACTTTTGACTTTGTAGTTTATTATTATATTATTACAATTACAATAAAAATAAAATAATAAATCAATTGTAATTCTAATAAAACATTTTTTTAAATCAACAGGCTGGGGAAATATTAAAAACAGAAATGTATAAAAATACGCGTTTCAAATACAAAGGCAATTGTAAATGACGGGAGAAACATTCATATGTCTCTCGTCGTATATTCTAAATATGTACGTTCCTTTTTAAACGCTTCTTCTTTGAACAGAAATGGTGTTTTAATATTTTATTTTTTGATTTTTATCGTCTTGTGAAATAAATTAAAAGCTGTAATGAAAAAAAATGTTCTGTATTTTATAATTTATTTGTCACCCCTGAGAACGTGGTAGAGCCATGCTGCAGCTATATTACTGGTATAGTTGTAGCACGAAAGTGTCGGCTCGACCGGGGAAGCACCATGCTCTCACAGAATACTAGCGTAAAAATAGCAGCTAATCACTGCTGTGTTTCGTATGGTGAGTGTAGAGAACCGGAGACTCCTTTTACTGGAAAAAAGGCATCCCATTTTAGTCCTCGATAACGCATCTGCATTTTGATTCTTTATTGAGGATATATGTAGATGTCTATGGGTCACAGCAACCACTTACCATCAGGTGGACTGTGTGCTCGTTTATCACCCTAACTCTATATAAAAAAAAATAAGATGGAATGCCTCCTTATTAGGAAAAGGGGAGACCCTTTTCCTTTCCTTATTAGGAAAAGGGTCTCGGCTTCTTTTCATTGACCATAATATGAAATATAGCAGCATTATTATGCTGTTTTACGCTGGTGTTTTGTTAGAGAGCGATCTAATCCCGGTCGAGCTGACCCATCCGTGTCACTACCAAATAGTTTGCGTGCCTCTGCCACGTAAAATCAATATAAAGAAACAAACTAAAAATTGTACTAGATGTATAGTACTCTTCCTCTTCCTCAGTCCCTGGCTGACTCTAATAGGTGTCTATAGACTACTGTAGTTACTGTAATACCATTAGGTAGACTGCCAGTTTGTTTGTCTTTTTTTTATAGAATGAGGGTGAGAAACGAGCACACAGTCCACCTGATGGTAATTGATTGCTGTGGCCCATAGACATCTATATGAACAATACAGAATTAATTTTGCAATAACTGACCAAATTGCGCAGAAGGTTTAGAATAAGTAACACAGGCAAATTGTGAAGAATACTTAATAAAAAAAATCTCAAACATTTTGTCCTTTTTATCTTTTAAATTCAAAATATGTGGTAATGCATTACTTTAACTGACTTTCATTCATAAATATCTAACGCCTACTATTTTACTACGCACGCACACATTCATAAGGGCTGATTGGTTGGCGAATTCGTTGTGAATTGAATTTCACACATTGGAGCGCGCGTACGCGTATTTGTTGCCCATAAATAAAAAGTTTAGGATAATGTCAAATAAAAGTAGAAGCCTTATTTACTCGTATTTTCAAAAACTGCAATAATGGAATATCATTATTTAAATATTTGAACTTAGGTTTTAAATTTGGCTGCTCTTTGCAAAATAACCTGTATAAAATGCTCGCTTATTAACATAGGCCTCTCCTTTCGGAGATATCTGATTAGATTTATCCACATTTCTTTGGCTTTAGACTAATGCTAGTATTTATAACCGTCGCGTGAGCGTTTCATCACGTACAGGATGTTATATCACACATATTTGACAGCTGGTTCGTTTTCGAAAAAAATCTCCATGTGCAAATTTAGCCACGAGAACAGCCACTTAGTATAACTTCCATGAAAAGTCTTACCACCGTATGTAAGCCCAGGACTTCATTCTTATTATTGCTATGGTTCAATTTTTAACTGTTATAAGTTTAAACAAACTTAAAGAAATTATTATAAAATGTTTAAAATATGATATTAAGCGCCCAAAGTAACTTTTGATAATAAAATAATAACGTAATGTTCGCTAAACTGTCATTTACTAAACTTAGTACTGATTATCACAATTACATGTGCTCTACCAATTATTACCAGGAATGTGTAACAATAAATCCGTACGAACAAAGGTATTGAGCGGTTTATTATTTTTTTAATCTCATTTTGTATATAATTGTGTTTATGTAGTGGATTATGCCTTGCTTCATTTCCATCATTATTGTGGCTGATCACAAAACCACTAAGTATGTAATTAAATTGATATTTAAATTATGTATATATTAAATAAAATATACATATTTCCACACTTAGAATCATTTCATCACCACATTTTTATTCTTCAAATTGAATTGTCTAAAGATTGGGTGCGTGTTTCTAAGCTTTTAAATAAATGTTATCCCCGACCTTGAAAGCACATTTCGAATTCCCAATGCGTCAAACAATCATCATAGCTCCAGCCAAACCCATTCGGGGCAATGACCCGCCTATTGCGAAAATCTCTAATAATATATTCTGTTTCATATACAAAGGCCCGCTGTGAATTGAAGAAAACAGAAGCGTTAATTATTCTATTAGCGTTTTGGGACCTGTGGATTAATTTGTTCAAGTATAATCCCTTACCAAGTATCTTTATATTAGTCTGTGGAGATTATTTAAGGGTATTTTATTGGTCTTAGCCCGAATTTGTAACTAAATAATAACATCTTAGCTTACTAGCCAAAGCTTTGGTTTTAATTCTTAATTTTAACTACTACTTTGCAATGCATTTACTATTTTGTCCATTTTTTTTTCTTATCTATTATATTACGTATATAGCACATCTATAGACTGCTAAAAGATTGAATACTTTTATAAAATAAATTAAAACAAATCTATAAAAATTCGCACACATTCACAATTCATCGAGATCCCACAAAAGGCTTTTAACTTCGCACGTGATACAACAGATCGTGATACAAATCGCATCGTTTCTTGAATTTAATAATCGTATATTAGTAGCGCTTTTAGATTTCAAATGTATGATAAAAATAGAAATTAAAAGATATGAAATGAGATATATATTTTCTTCGACGTAAAAAAATAATTATCAATTCCCATTTTTTTTAACCGGTAAAAGGTACCGTTTCGAAATGAGGTTTCTCTGATCGAAGAAAGAAACTCTGCATTGTTTCTTATTCCTCGTAATTGAAACGGCATTATAGTCAGCGAACGTTTTATTTATTTCATCATCATCATCATAATCATTATATCCTTTCACAAGTCCACTGCTGAACATAGGCCTCCCCCAAGGAATAATTAAATATTATCATTTATTTTTTTATTTTAACCATATAAATTTAATTAAAACTAGAATTACAGTGAGCGGATTTAATGCCTTGTGACGTTAAATGCCAGTCAACCTTGAGAAAAGAAAGGTGTCAATGAATATTTCTTTACTTGTTTAAAGTTTATCCCAGGTGTCTACGATGCAGTCGCCATTTATTACAAGACGGACTGTTAATTTATGTTTAGAAATAGAATGCAATTGGTTGAACATGAATGAAATAATTAGCCAACATCCGCCAAAAATGTATTTACGTCCGATTAAAATCTACCTGTTCAAAGCTAGAATGAAACGACTTTTGTAAGGTTAGGTTGAGTTAGTAATTTTCACTACCATTTTTTTTCAAACAGATTGAATAGTTATTGTGTATTAAATATTAATAATACGATTTACTAGATATATTTGTATTAACTACTTGTATTAAAAAAAAAATCGATAAAAATAATTTTCAAGTCATATATACATAGACGTAACTGCAACAGTAAAACAAATATGAAAGAGAAAGATAGAAACAAAAACACAGACGACACTATTACAGCAGGCTTGCGGCCAAGCTAAAACCTAGACTAACCGTAATAACGCACAAAATGCCCCGAAAATAAAACACGCTTTCGCTCTCCTTAACGTAATTTACCTAAATTTTTCTTTACGCTACATTTTACACAGCTTTGCGCCAAATATCAATTTTTAAATATAAAATGCCAGTGGGTGGGATCGTTTTTGTTTACGTTGTGCTCATGGCTGAACTAAATACGTAATTTCGATGACGAATGTTATAAATAAATGCGAGTAATAATTTCTAAGGTCATTCAACTGCTTAAAATGCCCGTGAAGTCCTTGACGGAACTCATTGCCAATTTTACTCGGTGTATGCCAAAATAAATAACATTATGAAATATGGATTTCAAATTTAATAGACTTCTTTTATTTATAATCCTATTTGGAAATTTTTTTAATAAGCCCAATATTTTTAAGTACATATTTAAACACATGAATTAACTTTTCGTCCGACAATTGATAGAATAAATTAAATAGCAAATATTATTTTAAGTAGTATCAGCGAAAGCAAGCAAAGACGCGGTTGGGTTGTACTTTAATATGTATTCCCTTGCGTCAACTTTGCGAATTTAAGACCTTACAAAGTCCGTTATCTTTATTACTCCTACAAAAGCTAGACAATTCATAAAATAACTATTATTTGGCGGGTATGTACGTAGTATATATAACTCAATGACTTTAAATCATTAAAATTGAATTTAAGATTAAGATATGATTACGATGTAATGATGTGAATGTCAGATGAATAAATATTTTTATTTTTTTCCGATTTTCGAACGAATAGCAAGCAACATAATATCTATACTCTTGCCTTAAACATATCTATACTCTATACTTAATATAAACACGCATGATTTTAACATAATATTGGGTGTCATTAGATTAATCTTATTTGTAGAAGTGACGGACGGATTTTTTAATAACCGTTTAAAAATTGGGCTAGTTTTAAATAGAACTTTCAATTAAATAGTCACAAAATAAGAAGGCAGACCGAATAACGCATGCACCGCACCAGTTTTTATATTTCTAAAAAAAATATACATAATAGTTTTAATATAAGTTTTATCCATAACAAGATGATTTTTACCTTCTTCGTCGCTCCCAATCATGGAGTACCGCTCGTAGCCGCTTAAATTTCGATGTGTACCCAGACCAAAGTCGTCTTTCGTCCACTGTAAGCTTCCCGCTTTGTTCTCTACCCGACATGGTAGTGTCACTCTTGAGCCCACTATTGCACTCTGTGAACAAAAAACTTAGTTATGTTTTTTATTATATACAGACATATAATTTGAAATATTTTAAATTACATCCTGAACATAGATGTATACAAAAGAAAATATTTTAAGCTTGCAAATCAATTTAGTGCGGTTCGCGGTTGGCACATCAAAAGTCTACTGTTGAACCTTCCTCATACATTCTCTCATATTTGCCATAGTTCCCATGCTTGGCAAGCGGTTTAGCAGCCGCAGTTTTTTTTCGCACGCCACACAACGTGCGAGCGTGTGGGAGTTTCCTACTTTTTTTTATAGGATCGAGTGACAAACGAGCACACAGTCCACCTGATGGTAAGTGGTTGCTGTGGCCCATATACATCTACATCTATCCTCGTTTGCGAATCAAAATGCAGCGGCGTTGTCACTCGTGAGGACTAAGATGGAATGCCTCTTATCCAGTAAAAAGGGTCTCCAGTTCTCTACACTCACCATATGAAACACAGCAGTGTTAAGCTGCTATTTTACGCTGGTATTCTGTGAGAGCGTGGTCCTTCCCCGGTCGAGCCGACCCATTTGTGCTACAACTATACTACTAATATAGCTGCAGCATGGCTCTACCACGTCTACTCTCGACATGTCGCTATATGACAATTTTGCAATATAAAATTGTTAGTATGTCTCAATTGAGACACTAAATCAATAAAAAAGGGATGTTTCGAAAACTAGATATATTGAATTATAAAGTCAGCGTACTCTTTTTTATTCATTTGTTTAGTTATATTTACATAAAATGTGGTTAAATAAATATTAGTACGGCTGTCAGTTAGTCTGTGCACTTGTTTGTCTTCACGTTTCAGAAAAATATACGCAACGATATGAAATAAATGTGAATAAGTTTCCATATTATCCTCAAGACGATCCCTATTGTTATCAGACTGATACACGTTTAAAAGACATTTTTTTATTTTTTTTTATTTGATGAAAAAAAAAAATAAAAACTCTCATGAGGCGTGCACTTATTGTGTTTTCCAAATATTATTTAAATGTTATCAGAAAGATTTTGCTGTTCATGTCCTGTTTCAGTTTCCTTTGCCGCCTTTTTTGTCGCCTCTTTCAACACCCACGGAACCTCTGCTGTGAATATAATATATAACATAATTCGACGTAATATGTTAAATAAGAAATAAATATTAAAGCATTTTCAAATTAAAATTTCCAAATGCCTTTGTATCTAGTAACCATATTTAGCCAGGCAAAACTATAAGAATGACGGGAGGCATTAGACAGTAAATCCAATAAACTGATATACAGTAAACAAACTCATTCCCAATACCAGCACAACCTATCTAATCGCATTATGTTATATAACTTTGCGAATGATACAAATAACAAAATCGATTGGTGAATTGTCCACACATCAAGTGATTATTTATAAAAATGGTTTGCTGTCTTAAAATAACATGCAAATTTATTTATTTATTATTTTTAGGTATTGACAATTTAAGTTAAGGTTTTTCAACATGGTAGGGCACGCTGCAACTATATTACGGCTGCAGCATGAATGCATCGGCTCGACTGGGGAAGGGCCGCGCTCTCACAGAATACCAGTGCGAAATAACAGATTAATGCTGGTGTATTTCATGCGGTGGAATCAGAGACTCTTTTCGAACGAGGATTTTCTTCTTTGTCCTCAAGGGCGACAACGTATTTTTTTTAATTCTTAATCGAGGATTTAATATGTCGGTGTCTATGAGCCACAGCATCCACTTATCATCAGGTGGACTGTGTGCTCTTTTGTCAGCCTTATTCTATAAAAAAAGATTTCTGCATACTTTTCATTACTGTAGACCATTTTGTTTAATTATATATTCTACTTTGGAATATTTTTACACTTTGATTACCATTAATGAAACTAAATCCGGCTATAAATAATAAACAAAAAATATTTAGGCATATTTAATTTAAATAAGTTTATGTATATTTTCATTTTCGATACCATCAGTATGATAAAACAGAACATTGCATGAACGTACACCTATGGAAATTCAACTAATTTATTATTCAAATTAAAACAACTCTTTCTCCAAGCAATAAGCGTATAATTATTAAAACTAATAATTCGAAATATGTTTAACCTTCATTATGTTGCTACTCGTAATTACTATTAACTTTAATTACTAATAATTGCAAAGTTAAATTACAACCTATTTACGTCCCACCGCTGGGCATAGGCCTCCTCTCATTTCTGAGAGGGGTTTAGGGCAAGGAGATGTCCGCCGTGCTGCCACAATGCGTGCTGGCGAACTTCATATGCCTTCGTAATATTTTTTTTTATTTTGTAGACATGCTGGTTTCCTCACTATGTTTTACTTCACCACCGAGTACATGGTAAATCAGTTCTTAAAATTGTAACTTACAATTTCATTTGTGCCGACGAGGATCGAATCCGGGTTGCTCGCGTACTGTGAAATTTACTGCGAGCGCTTAGCTCCTGAACTACCACGGTTAATATATTCATAAATCAGCAAACAAAATGCATGTAAACCTATTGTGGGCAGTATGTAAAATCTAAACAATAATTTAGAATTTGAAATATCCCTATTTTAAATTGCCTTTATCTTACACTGTTGTAAACCGGTGGCGCAGATAATCCCCTACCTTATATCTCATCTTCCTGACAACACCTCAAAATAATAAAAAAAACTGCGGATGCCAACCTGCCAACCTGCCTGCTAAACCTGGTAACTCGCTGAACACAGGCCACCGATAGAATGCCTCATAGGGGAGGCATTCTATCGGTGGCCTGTGTTCAGCGGTGGACTTGGATAAGCTGTAATGATTTTTTTTATAGGATAGGGTGACAAATGAGCACACAGTCCACCTGATGGTAAGTGGTTGCTGTGGCCTATAAACATCTACATCTATCCTCGTTTGCGAATCAAAATTCAGATGCGTTGTTACCGGTGAGGACTAAGATGGTATGCCTCTTTACCAGTAAAAAGGGTCTCCGGTGTAAACTGTCATCTCAAGTCAATGAGTCTTCCTTAATGAATGGTAATAATAATGAAAATAATTATGTGTAAATTATACTATAACTAATTCATTTAGAATAATAGAAATAAACCCAACATATTATAAGCAATTATGTAAAGAAATTTTGAATTTTAACTCTTAATAAAAATTTTCGAGTTCGCCTATACATATAATATAATATATCTCATGCATTTTTTGCCATTTTTTTTAATACAAAATATCTAAGCTGATTTTAAAACCAAAGACGTCAAACCAATTAATAAAAGCCCCGGTCTCCTTGATTCTTTCAACAAACCCAGTTTAATGATGAAACATTTATTTTTATTTATTTCATTTAAATTATATTTCTCATTAGACCAATATCAAACAAAAATGTATTCAGACGCAATGTATTGTTCATTTTTATGATTAACTTAATATTTTAGACTGTATTGATACAATTTTATCAAAAATTAGCTATATAATCAAAAGCTCAATACAGTAAGAATTTGTAAGAGACATAAAAATTATGAAAGAGACACATAGATAGCGACCACATTCCTGTAGGTACAAAATATTCTGCGAAACGTTTTTGGTTTTAGTATTTTTAAAAGCAGATGTGCGACACATGTTACAATGCCAATCAGAATATCAATAGTGTTTATAATGGCTAATCTCTGATTCCCGTATTTTTATGCGCAGTTCTTTTTATACTGGAATATAAAAGTTGCACGTAAAAGTAATATTGAGTATAACTTTCGCAGCTTCTCATAACTTGCACCAAACGTCACAACACCACGTTGATAAAACGACCTACAAGGCCGTTAACTTTTATTTACAACATGGAATCTAAAACGATTGACTAAATTATGCACGTTTGTATATATATATTATATTAAGTATATCAAGATTTCGCTAATCTGCCCTTATAAATATTCATAAGATCATAACATATCTGAGGCTTGTTTGACACGAGGCTGTTTGGTAAAGGTTAATTACAAACGTCATATAAATTTTGACAGTTTAGTAAAGCGTTTACTTGATCGGTATATGCGGGTTAGCGATGACATGGTATGTACAACAGTATGTAGAAAATCTAAGTAATTAGGGCAAAATTTAGCTCGAAGAACCCGCGTAATCAATTTTCGAAAGCAGAAACTTTAAAAGATTTTTGTAAAATATTTATTGATTCAATGTGCTATGTGTTGTTGTGTTAGTTTCACTTATAAAGTTATTGTACAGTGTATTTATTTACATAATTAAAACACTATAATAATATAACTAAAACTAAAATCTATCATACAGTCCTACTGCCAATAACGCTGGCTGTATTTCCTCGCTAAATTATTCAATATTATTACATATTATTATATTATTCAACAGGAAAAATCTAAGAAAATATCTAACCTGGTCTTGGGGCTCCATTGCGAATCTCTGTTCTTGGTAACCATGGCAACTGACGAGAAGGGCGGCAAGCGATAGCAACCAAATCCCGACATCCGGCCGTCGCGGCCATGGCAGTTTCCGGCGCGTGTCTCCCGCCTCTAAAATGCACGACGTTCTATTTTCGTATTTCGAATCATCCCTGCGCGAGCGCACTATAAACGGCATTCCATTTTCAAATCGTTTGAATTTCGCCGCCATGTCGGCTTATATCTTTGTCTCATGTTGATGTAAAGAGCAATTGTTTCGTCTCATTTGTTGTGACAGTTTTATTACATTATCTGTAACAAAAAGAAATAACAAAAGATAAGCGACTAGGTATCAAATATGGAAACAAACATTTCGCAGAATATTTCATACTCGCTTGTCGGGTCCCCTCAAATCCCTTGATATCTTTATAGACTAGATATTTCAATATTTCCAAGAATTCCCTAGCTAAAACGCTAATAATAATTACTTGGAAATATACACTACCGAGGGTAGGACTCGATTCGTAAGCGCGGTTCTGTTGTTACTTTCGCACTGGTTCGCACTGCCATTCACTATTGTCTCGTTCATTAAGAGAGTTTCGATTTGTAAAAAGAGTTAGCAGACTTTACCCTTAGACTATACATTTTATGGGGAATTGCCTACGGATACTCGATTTGCGGAAGTAAAGGCGGGCTATGGTTTGAACTTCTTTTTTTTCTTCTTTTTCAGCCTGTAATAATTTCCTCCTAGAAATGGGTTTCTTCTATTGTAAAGAGTGTTACTGCCATACTACATATGTACATTACTATCATTCTGACTTTAACATACTCTCCTCTTACGGCATCCAGAGAAAAAAATTAGATGATGGGTTCAATTCCGAAAACCACCACAAGACAAGATTATGTTGACATTGTTATGTTATATATTTACTTTCAAATTATAAAACTAAAATACTTATTGCAAATCTCTCCTTTAGAGTTAATGCTAAGAATGCCGGCTATGTTTTGTTGCCTAACCGCTATGTACCCTCTGGGATAGAGAACAAACTGAAACACTTATCACACTAGAGACCACGAATACAGTTCTTTCAAAAACTTCAGACTTGTTTCGTACACGCAAATGAACTTAGGGATCAAAGATCTCTCTACAGCAAATATTGCAAATATTATATATATATATATGTCATTCATAGTATTATATATTAGACGGCTCCGTGGCGCAGTGGCTTAGCAATCAGTTGTTGCGCTGGGGGCCGCGGGTTCGAATCCCGCACGGAACAAGTATTTGTATGGCCTACAAATAATTGTTCCGGGTCTGGATGTTTGTCCTTGTGCTATTTATGTTTGTAAACTGCCTCCACGACACGGGAGAAAATCCTAGTGTGGGGGTAACGTTTTTTTAAATAAATAAAACAAAAAGAAATAAAACAAAGAAAAGAAAGTATTCCATTTTTGAGAATTGTAAGTCATTTTACCTATACTTTAATGATTAACTAAGTCTGATGAAAATGTTCATGAATATTAAATAGGGAAACATTTGTTTTATGTTATATACATTATAAAGCAGTATAATTATAGTGCTTCAGAGATATTTTGTCATAATCACCGGAAGATGGCGTTCTAACTCAAAGCCATTAGAAGTTCATGATCACTTAGTATTTCCTCTTGTATGATGTAACTTATACGTTTCCTTTTCATCAAAGTGATTTTTATAAAGATTAACATATACAGATTATAAATATCGGATAACAAAATACCTAGGCATTCGTTTTTTAACCGCAAACAAATAAGGATTAATTTTAAATTTTAAAGAAAATACAACTGTCTTAAGTTTTTTTTTATAGGATAGGGTGACAAACGAGCATACAGTCCACCTGATGGTAAGTGGTTGCAGTGACCCATAGACATCTACATTTACCCTCAATAAAGAATCAAAATGCATGGACACCCAAGAGGACAAGTTGGAATGCCTCATTTCCAGTAAAATGGATCGCCGGTTCTCTACACTCACCATACGAAATACAGTAGTGTCAAGCAGCCATTTTACGCTGGTATTCTGTGAGAGTGTAGTTCTTCCCCGGTCGAGACAATCCATTCGTGCTACAACTATACTACTAATATAGCTGCAGCATGGCTCTATACCACATATAACACATCTAAAATACAATAAAAATAAGGCGGAGACATATCAGTTGATCAATTCAACCGGGGTAAGACCACACTTCCGCACTTAAATAACAACCTATAAAGGGTTGTGTGTATCTGTTGTAATTTGTATATAATAATTTGTGGTGGATTGTTATACTACGTTACAATAAATTGTTTATTTTGTGATAAAATTAAATATTACACGCATTTTATTTCTTTAATATGTTGTAATTTAGGTGGCCGACTAGTGGGTTTCGAATTTTTAGGGTAGATCCAGTACTGAGCCATAAGTGGCTGACTACTGGCTTTTTCGTGAATTTCTTATATTTAGTTGAAATTAACAGAACAAATATTACCAAATTAGCTCATTACTTTGGGTTTAACTCTTATAAGGCGAAAATTGTATTTTACCAGTAGTCATCCGCGTACAAATGTAATAGCATGTCAGGGGCCGACCAATGGGTCTACAAATCCAGTAGCCATCCGTTAGTCCTGTTGCACAAAATAGTACCTTAAAGCCTTTTCAATAAGGGTTAAATCGATACACGGTTATTTTAGCATGAAAATCATTTGTTTTAGAATTCTATCATGTCAAAAATCCGTCCATCAATACAAAGAAGAGCATTTAACACAAGCTATGGCGGCGTTTAGAAATAGGATGAAAAGAATAGAAGCTATTTCTTCCAAAGAGTAGAAACAATTTCAGAAACAAAAAGAAGAAACAAAACAACAGAAAAAGAACGATATATTGATTAAAAAAATAAGAGATTTGAAGCTAAAACAAAGAAAGAAGAACAAAGTCAAAAAAAGAAAGAATAATTACAAAAAAGGGAAGCGGAAAAGATGTTTAATTCCAAAAACAACAAAAGGAGAATGAAAAATACTATATATACAATAAACAAATTAAGATGCAAAAACTGTGAAGAGGAATTGACTAGCGACACAGAAATTATTGATTTAAAGAATATTGGATGTGACGATTGCCTTGCATGGTACATTTGAAATGTACTGAATTCGCTGGGGACATGTATGAAAATTGGACTTACCTAGTCGGACTATCTGTCCTAGGTAAACATATTCGTCAACAGCTTTAGTGCTCCCAACAACTACTGGTATAGGTGTGACATGGACGTCAAATACGATTTTTGTTTTCTCCATGTTCATCTTAAGACCTATCCGTTGAAAGACACTATTGAGGTCATTGAGCATAGTGTTTAGGTCCTCCAGCAATTCTGCCATAAGGACTATATCGTCGGCAAATCGAAGTCCAACTTCGATCGAGAGGTCAATCGACGGAGATTACGTTCGGGAGATTACGACACATCTTCTCGTATGCCTGACACCCCAAAACCTCAGAACGAGATTGTACAATCGGTGCGTGTTGCCAGTGCCTGCTGGACGTATGAAGAAGCTCAAATTCGCTCAGCGAGCTATGCTATGAGAGGACTATGCTCGGCGTTTTTCTGTGTGATAGACTTAAAAACGAGGATATCCGCAGTAGAACCAGAGTAATCGACTTTGCCCAAAGATTTTGTAAGCTGAAGTGGCAATGGGCCGGCCATATAGATCGAATAAATGCCAACCTATGGGGAAGATAGGTTCTCAAGTGGCAGCCTCGTACCGATAGGTGAAGTATAGGGCGTTCCCCCACTAGATGGAGTGATGACTTGGTAAGACATGCAGGAAGTCAATGGATGCAGGTGACTGGAAACCATGCTTTGTGGCATTCCTTGGGGAAGGACTACGTTCAGCATTGGACTTGTGAAGGGCTGTAATGATGATGTTGATGATGATGAATTGGAAATATACACATTAAAGAATTTCTATGCCAAATATGTAAGAATAAGTGAGAGGCTGACTACATGGTTAAACATGGCTGACTTGTGGAGAAATGAGGCTGACTACTGGTGAAAAGTGCCATGATTTGTTTAATGTTGATTTTTTATAAAATTCCATTATAAATTTAATGTTTTGTTGCTTTCTTTAGCAAATTTAATAAACAACCTTACTGGGGATAATGATTGTTTTTATTCATAATGTTTAATATTTAAAATGCAGTTGAATCAAATTTTAGTCCTCACTAAAAGGCTGACTACTGGGAGTTTTACCCTATGTGCCACTATCGTGGACAGACCCATGATTTCTAGGAGCTTCTCGGAACGTCGAATAGTCCACCACGTTGCAATGTGGGATTAATTATTAATGCGCAATTGTTATTCGACACTATTAAGTACACAAATGTACTAGTTTCTTTACAGTGTTTTTCTTTATCGTTTAAATTTTAATTTCCTTAAAATTTCTTAGTACATAAATCCGCAAGCACGTTTTCCGCCGACACCAATAAAATTTATAATTCAATCTAAGTGCCGATATACCACTTGCTCGGTATTTACGAAAAGTTTGAAAGGAAATTACAAATGTCTCGAGGTGTCGAGAATTCGACAACACGCATAGAGAATTCCAAAACCCTCTCAGAAATGGTGAGCAAGCCTGGTGTACTCAGCAATTGGGCTCCAGCGTACTAAAAAAGTTTATTAAGCTTACGGAAAAGTTTATAAAGTTATAAGTATGAAAACATAAACTAACTTCGTTTTTATTGTAATAAGCAACTATTTGGTCCTGCTATATTAATTTGTTCTATGCCTAAAGTAAATTTGGCCAACATATTATTTGTATTTCTGAATCTAATGCAATCCGTACTAGGATTCCATTATTCTTTAATAAACTTAACCGAATCGGCATGATTATAGGATCAACATATTATTTTATACCTTTAATTTCTTTCGATATACTTTCTCATATGTCTTATGTACGACCTAAACAATTTTTATTCACGATATAAATATGATTAACTTCCAAGATCCCGTAATTATTTTAAAGCAAATCAAATCTAGACGCTTTGAGGAATATATATACCACCGTGTATAATCAGTATCGTTTAAGTGCACACATTGAAAATGATTATGAAGTGATTTCACAAGAGATACATAAAAGTCTGTTAACACTTACGCACAAACAAGGTTTTTTATTATACATTCTCGGTCACATTTCAATAAAAGAGCATGAATGTATCAACGTAACACC